TGCTGCATATTGGTGGTGGTGGAGGGGAGTGTAACGAACAGTTCTTTCCGGACCCTATGCGGACGACACAGTCCGACGGAGTGGGGAAACACTAGGGAAACGTCATGCAGGAATACGGGGCTGAAGATAGGGGGGCGTGTCCAAGGTGCGCTGGTGCACGGGGGAGGTGTGGCCGAGGCGAACAATCCAAAAGAGTAGTCCTTTGGGAATATCCAAAACGCAAGGGTAAGTCCAAAACCAGGAGATCCATCAGAACACGGAATTAAAACCACGAAGGCCGGGTCGGAACCGGCGGACGGGGAACAGGAACAGGAACAGGAACAGAGGATAAAACCTTAACGGGACCAGGCGCTTCCAGGTCCCGGACTCGCACGATATGGAAATCAGATGCAGAGCCCGGATGAGCGTCAGCGCCTGGCTTTTAAGGTGGTCTGGGAATAGGGAGCAGGTGCATAGAATACAGTCTTGAGTGAAAGGGCTGGAGCACCCTTAAGGAGGGGGAACTAATATCGTGACAGGGAGTCCCCATTACCTATAAAGTGCTTTGAGTGGAGTGTCAAGAAAAGCGCTATATAAGTGTAAGCAATAATAATATTAATAATAATAATAATAATAATAATAATAATAATGTTATCTGGGTTTATCATTTTAAGGTTCCCATTGTTTTGTTTAACCTACTGAAAAAGCTTATTCTTGATTCAGCAGAACATGGCACAAAGTCCACATTGGCCAGCATTCCTGCAAATCAGGGTGGTGGGAACAATGTCTGTGGGCATAGTGGTTGACAGGTTGGAAAATATCCTGATGCCAAGAAGTGAGAATTTGGACTGAACATGATGAAATCCCAGGCAGCATTGTGGTGCAGTTGTCAGCATTGCTGCTTTGCAGTGCTAGGGCCCTGGGTTCAACTCCAGACCTGGGGTGCTGTCTGCATGGAGTTTTGTATGATCTCCCCATGTTTGTGTGGGTTTCCTCCCACAGTCCAAAAACATACCGGGAAGTTTAATTGGCTTTTGAGGAAACTGGACCCGGTGTGACTGTGTGATCTGTGTGCTGGACTGCAGTCCCATTCAGTGTGAGCCCAGTCTTGCTTCAATTGCTTACTGAAATAGGCTCCAGCTCCACCACAACCCTGAATTGGAAGAAGTGGGAGAAAATGAATGGGTGATGAAGTCCCAAAGCATTTGTTTAAAACCCCACTACACTTTCAAGGGAAGAATGAACCTTAAAACAAGGCTCCTCAAAAAAAAAACATCTCCACTCAGGTGACGGGTCAGGTGATGCCAAAAATCCCTGTCACTTTCAAAGAAACTACGCAATCAAAATAAAGAGGGTTGTCATGTTTCTGTCTCTCATCTTTTAGTTTCAAATGTGGACTATAAATTGACAGGCAGACACAAGCGTTTTTTTCTGGTCGTCTTTTAAATTGAACTGAATTAATTTATCTTCACCACAAAACTCCACCAGCTTGACCAAAGGGAATGAACATCACAATACTTCTACTATGTACTAGTACTTCTAGTATGTACACAATATTATGTAGAACAGAAGTGAGGAGTTATGAACCTCCTACAGGCATCCCTAAGAAATTTTCTTCTGTGTACTTTTTTAAACATTACAATCATCGCTTAATTGGACAGTTCCCATCCTAAACCTATAATCACACCTAATTAATTCTGTGAATCTAACCATTTATGATTTGCTGTTCACGTTCAGTTACCCTCTTTCTTCCTAAATCATCTTTATCCTAAAGTATATATGGTTTAATTTGTGAAAAGATGGTTGGAGGTTTGCGTCTGTGGCTCGTTCAAAGTTTTCCAAGCCTGGTTCAGGAGGCTTTATAACCCACCTTTTAAAAACTTGAAACAATTTCATTATGATCAATTAAGCAAGTGATATGTTAAACTAAATATGTTAGAGTTCATTTGGAACCACAATCTGATACCCTTAGTCTCTCAAAGGCCAAAATGATTTTGATTATTTTTTTATTAACACATTTCATCAGTATATTAACAGGTGTTGGCAATCCTTGGAAACAGGTGACCTCCTGTATAAGTAAATTTACCAGAGGTCTCCAGGACCACAGTTGGAGACCTTTAGCTTAGATAGAGCTTTTAATTGGAACATTTGCTAGGGCAGTTACTGTGCTCTGGAAACTATAGGCAAGTTAGATGTACCTTTAATTCTTTTTATGCCCCATAAGATCACAGAGAATATCACATACTGGCTGTTCATTTACCATCACACTGGGATCCTCCCAAAATTTAAAGCATATCTATAAATGGAGTTTATGATGACATCCCTAAATTTAATCCATATTTCAACTGAAACCAGACATGCAAACATGGGCTAATTCCAAACCCTTCAGGTCTTCCAGAGAATAATATTTTCGTCTTAGACAGCAACCTTTTTTTTCCTTTATGTGCAAAACTAGAAGCTTGCTCTGACCATGACCCTTGGGAGAGTGTTCAAGACGATTAGAAAAATGACCTAGAGGAGTTAGTGTGGGAATATTAATGACTACCTCTTGGTCTTCTAAACTGGTTAGGTGCAGATAGACCCCCTTTAGAAAAAATACTTTAATTGTACTTCATATTACCAGCCCAGTCCTTTAAAACAAGAAATTCCTAGGATTAAGTCCAAGACTACATTCAGTCTACACTTGAAACCTGCCCTTAAGCCATGCAGTTGGCCTTCATGTTAAATTTACCTTCAGTTGATTATATAATTCACCATTGCAATGAACATAAAATTCAAAAGCACAAAATAGTAAAATCTTAAAACTTAAAACACTAAACAGTGGATTTGTATGCCCCCTAACTACATGATATAGTGCACCATAACCTTAACCAAGAAGCTAGCGATTTTCATTTGTGTTATGTATGCAAATGACAACTAAATTAGTTTACCTCTAATGGCAAGAGCTATATACCACAGCACCAAGGAAAGATAATTTATCAAAATATACACTTCATTCTTTAAAAGGGGGTGGGTGTCAGGGGAGTTCCTTTAAGTGCGTATTTAGTGAACGGCTCAAATCAGCATTTCAAAATGTTGCTTTTTATTAAGATTAAGAGTCTGTTAAGAACATTCTCCTAAGAATGGAAATCTGAATAGAATTTTTTTTTATATATTAACGTCTTGCCAACGAATCTTTTGCGTTCAACAAAGATCGAACTGCTCAATTGAATTGATCCTTCAAACTGAGTGAGGTCTGACAAACGCACACCTGAGTACACAGAAGAATATACGATATACGGTTTCCAAAAAACCAAGAGGTCAGTGGAATAAAAAGCTCCTTGTTGTCCTTTTTTGTGTCTCAGAATATATGTTCAAGAATCCTTTTGTCTCCGCATCCTTTGGATTCATGCATGACTTTGTTTAGGAGGGTTAATCCGATCATTAGATGAAGATTTGTGATTAAATTAAAAATCATAAAAAACAGATTTTACTCTCCATTCTCAATATGCCAACAAGTGCATGCTCTCGAGGGGTCTTAATGGTTTCTTTTATCTGCATGTGTCTCAAGACCTCCCCCATTCGTCTTCCCTGTCGGTTTTTCAGTCCCATGGGAGTTGTGCCAGCGTTTATCAGGGCAGAGAGGAGCTTAAGAGTGTGTCTTGGTGTCGTGATCGACTACTTTTTTGTTATTTATTTAAAATCTTTTCATGCGGCGACCAGACAATGGAAAATTTGTCAATTATAATCAATTCTGGGCTGGCGATTTTTCTGTATTAAAAAGATCTAACAGCTAACACAAGAGCGATTTTGCAATGTTGAATTACATTAATGTGTGTTTTAAGCAACTTTTTAACACCGTACTGTTATATTTAGCATTTAGCAGAGATGCTGAACTATTTTCAGTCATTGTTAATGTAGTTGTTATTTTAACGCCAAAACTAGGATCGGATTTGGAATTACTTTAAACAGAGTACAGTATATAGTCCTATTTACAATTTACATCTATTGTTTTTTGTTTTTAAACATTCTCGATATATATTCAGTGATTACATTATTTGATTCTCTACATCTCAACAATCTATCCACTGTAACCTCGAAATTTGTGAATGGCACGAATCTCATCTTGCACTAACTGCACATGCAACAGCAGGAAATTAGTGAAGGTGTATTATGCCCCTAGCCAGAGCAAAGCATTTACAATTATCATCTCAAGCGGAGACACTGCAATATGAAGTATATTATTTTTTCAGAACCACACATTTTTTTTCTAAATTGTGTTAAATCAAGATAATAGCAAAAGCAAACAGTTCTAAAAATAATATAACCGGAATAATTTTAGGTCAAACGCTTATTGTAATAATGCTAGTTATAATATGAATAACTAATATTTTTGTTTTTAGCGAGTTGTATCAAACTGCTAAACACTAATAATATTTTGTTCTCATTAGTATACTATGTACTTAAAACATCCGTGTACAGTATTTTTTATAAAGTGAAGTGATATTTATTAAGTTTCTTAAATAATCCTCAAAATAACCGCGCACAGCGCCCACTTCAGTAGAGGCGGCGCTGGAAGCAAGTACACTACATTTCGGAACTACCGCGCTCGGATTTTCAAAAGCGAGAGCTGCTTATTCTGTACCCGCTGTTCTGTTCACCAGCTGTATATTCCTCAGAATACAATGACATATATACCCTATACACCCTCCTAATAAACGTTCAACGCTAATGAATAACAGTTTAGCAAAAAGTGTCGTATATTTGTATTAATAAAAAGATTACAGTACGTTTTCGCTACCTTTTGGGAACATCCGTCATTGTTAGCACTTATTGTAAATTTTCACTTACTAAATCACTTGCAGGTGAAGAGTGTTTATCCGTGGAAACCTACCTATTCTTCAGGCGGCTTTTGAGCTGTTAATTTCTTTGATTGCACAGCACAAGCAGGTGCAGTGGATCCGGGCAATCCTGCCACTGGTCATTTCCTTCTTAACTCGGATTTTGTAGACGCGTTTTTTTTTTTTTATTTTGTACGAAAAGAAATGCATACACACAATCGAGAGCAGAAGGCCGAAGCATCAATGTCAGAGCGCTTTTTCTTCAGTTCTCTGTAAGCAACTACGTTGGGAGAGAGGGGGAACCTCACGAGAGGGCACGGAGAAAATTAAATTGCACTTGAGGGCAAATTCTATTAGGGAATAGTTATTGTCTCCTGACAGCTCCTGTCCATTTACGTAATTAGTTGAAGGACAAGACTGTGTATTGTCAAAAAAATAAAACAAACCAAAACGGTTAAAGCCTCAAGCCAGTCTTAAACGCCGTACAAATTTTGGATTTACGTGTGTGTTATTTACGTTATACGTTACAAATAAACCTCGTACTGTCTATGATAAAAGCAGTCTTAACGTTATCAGCTTGGTCGTTGTTGGAAGTTGCTGTTAAGGTTTTTTTTTGTATAAATAGTAGCAGTTGTAGAAAACGGCTTATGCTTAAGGTTGTTATAGCTTCTGAGAAGAGCACTGCTGAATAATGTGTTCACACGACGGCGCTTTAAACAGAGAAGTTTTGGTGATTGTTTACCTCATACGTTTTTATTAACAGCACTCGATCTGTGGATAGCTACAATATTGCATACTGTAGTTGGGTGGTTAGAAAGTTCTTAAACGTATTTAAAAATACATGAGATGGGCTGCAGTTTCTGTTACTGTATGTCTACTGTCACCTATTCAATAGTTGTCAATGTTTTTAAATATTAAACGTAGTGTACTTTGTTCTCAACCTTTTGTTCACAGCGGAGACATTCACTTTCATTCCTCACTGTGACCCTGCGTTTCTTTCCAAGATTTCCCAGTAAGAGGATTTAGATTATATTTTGAGCTACTTCTTTTCTTAGCTCACAGTGTTCCGAAAATGGCACGTAAATACAAATACTTCGCGTTGTCTGGTCAGGGATTGCACCCGAATCCCAGGTGAAAGATTGTGTAAATGGAAAGGAGCGTATTTTACGTAAGACATCATTGAGAAAATACAGGCTGATGCTATAAAATGATAATACAACAATACGACAGAACTTGAACAGTATTTTTACTGAAGTGCGAGATTGTATGACATACGTAATGCAAAGTGTATTGTACATCTCACGCTTTTCTCTTTTCCGTAGGTTTTAATATTCATGGATATTGGAGGATGTTGTACTTCATTTAAATGTAAGTTGCCCCTTAAGCTTCTTAAACAAGAATGAATAATACGGATCAGAAAGAGAAAATCTCTGCGAAATATTAAAATACATTTCTTCAATATTCAGTTTCACAGTTTCAATATATTTACTACAATACAGTTACTACAAAAAATGAAAAGCCACAGAATTCTGCTTTCAGAAATTTAGTGAGAAATAACCGCACGCAGATCAAGCAAAGCTGTGACCTCCCATCTCGTGTGTAATCGTTAATATCCCATTAACTGGTCACTTTTATAAATTGGAGTACACTGCGATGAAATACCTACATGATACAAGCTGTGATATATGCTTGCCAACTGACTAGCTGTCATGTTTTAATTCAGTCTGATGCTCTCGGTTTATTAAACATTTTGAGTAATAACCGTTCCAAAGAAAAGTTGGAACTGGTTTTCAGTATTCATTTTCAAATATACTGTACTGTATGTAGTGTACAAAAATCTCAACAATTGGCTGACGAATATGAACTTAATTGTAATACGTACAAAAACCTTTATCTGCGTACAGTATATGTCAAGCTACCATATCTACCTAATAATTTCATATTCCAATAAATCCTGACTATATTAGCTTGAATTTTAACCGCGTAAAAGCGTTTGAAAGATTTTAACAATAAGAAAAGAAAATCGAATATAGGCGTATTGCTATTAAAATTACGTATAGACCTCTACATTTAAAGCTGGTGTCCTCAATTCAAAATACAAGTTCACGTTGTCTTAGAGAATCTCTTTAATTTGGCGCTGTGAACCATAAACATCAATTAAAAACCTTTTCATAAACCTGCAGATTGCCTCGAAAGAGGAGATATCGTCAGTTAAACGGTGAGGCTTCTGGGCACTTGAGTACATTAAAACGACTGTGATTGACACGACCGGGAAACAGTCCAAGTTCATCTTGCAAACATGTAACGTTGTTACAGAGAAGTACAGACCACTGCGAGAACTTGACATATTCTCTTTGTATTGACCGCGCGTCCGGACACCGTAGTGGCAGGATATAAAGAACACAAGCTGGAGAGCAAAAGATCAAGAAACTGATTCCGTTCAGTCCGAAGAACACATCTGTCTGTGTCTCTTTCCTGTTGATTTTTTCCACAGATGCGAAACACTTTGTGTGTATAAGGATTTGATGAATGAAAGCTAAAATTAGCTGGATGCTATAAACCAAAACGCTGTCGGAGAATAACCGTTAAAATGATTATGATTGTTATCATCAGTAGTGAAAGATGCGTGTTTAAAGTATTGCTATTGCAATAATAACGAAAATTGTAATAAAACATAACTTTGGAACTAAGACCAGATAGTATACTGTATGATTGTTGTTATACACAGGAAACAGACTGTGTATGTTGGGCTGTAGGATATCACAGTCTCACTTAGGAATTCCATACCAGTTTTGTTAAACTTTTGTTCCTCCAGTGCTGAAGGGATCACTGAGATTTGGATTAACCTTTGTGACAATGTCAAATTAACCTTGGCCACAAGGGAGCAGGACATATACTATATATGTATTTGTTTTACATTTTGCTTGTTTCAAAGATTAAACTGTTCTCAAAATGTTTGTTAGTTGCTTGGTTGTTGGTAGTTGTGGCAGTAAATAATTCCACAATAACATCTGAATAATTCTCAGTTCTTAATTAATTGGGTTTAGATAATACTGAGGGACTGAATCAGCATAGCATGGAGATATGAACAAGGCCTGGTGTTAAGAGATACACAATTCAAAAGTGACACCTATGTGTGTCTTTGAAGAGATATTTAACGAGCTTTCACCTGGCATGATGCAGAAAATTCTGGACTTTGGCAGGGCTCCTGCAGGAATCTCTTTGCTTTCTGAGAAAGGGTCCTGCACTATTTTGCTTATGTGATTTGTGAAGCGACTCCATAGGATGTTTGTAAGAATCTATATGGACATTCTCTAAAATACTGTAGGATTTTTCTTTGTAGGAGGTCTGTAGGAGATACAATAAGAAACTTATTATAGTATTCAAAAAATAAATGTGAAATGCTGGCAATAGGCAAAGATCTCATTGCTAACCCCCAAAATATACTTGAAATGTACCTGTTTTCCCATGCGTTTCCATATCCTAGATGACTTCTGTAAAACAATTTTCATGGTTGTATTTGTGATCCATACACTTGCAACCAAACATCTCCAATACAACAGATCAAGCATCATTATATCGAATTAATATCACATTAGAAAGTCTACAAGCTATTGGGAATAAATCGAAGAATGCTCCCCTTTTTAATCTCTCCTCACCTCCACATTATCCCTTGTGATTAATACAAATGTACTGGTACTCCCCAACTATACAAGTTTCTGGAAATAGAAATTGTTGGATGAGATGGTTTGCTCATGTTTACAACCTTACTGTTATTGTACCATATCTTATTGACCTGAGTAGTTGTGCAGTTGTTAGTGGAAAAGTTACTGACTTCAGAGAGGTGGACACAAGCAGATGCTTGTGGAAAATGGGATCTTAATATGCACGACATTTGGAATTAAATAATGGGGTTTACAAATCAGTGGCCTGAAAACTGGCAATGCCAGTTTACAAAATCAGGTCATTAATCTCTGGTGCATGAACCTGTACCTCTGTTCCAGTGAACTTAGCCTTTACCCAAGGCCAAAGAAAAGATGGAGGGCTTTCAGACTGAACCTTGCATAGAGTATGCTTACATAATACACAATCGTGATGAATGCCTGTGTTGTTGATGATAATGATGATAATATCCAGGAAAAAAACATTTACAATGAGCTTCTGGCCTATGCCAGTGTTGTTCAGAATACAAAATCATCAAAGAAAGAAAAGGGTACCCAAAGTCAGTAGTTCTTCTTGCAATAAATGTACAGTAGTAAAATAAATCCCCATTAAAACTATAGAACTTACTGCAAAAATGAGGTATAACTACCACAAATACTTTCCTCTGAATCATACAAGGAACCATCCATTGGACATCACCTATACAAGCAGATACTAACTGAAATTTCAATAACCTTTAACACACCCATTTGATAAAAGATATCTTTAAATAAGAACAATTAAGATATCAGACAAACCACTTAATCCATTTACCGTTGCTTCTTTCTCCGCTTACTGGAAATTTTTAAACAGGTTTTGAAAGGCTTAAAGCCAATTGGAATCCTATTAACCAGCAAGAAAAAGTCAGGCACTGGAGAGCTGCTCAGAAGGCACTGCTCGTGTTTTGAGCCTGTTGTCTGGCGTCGTAAACACCAATGAATGAGATGTAGCATCTGTACGATTTTGTTTGCGAGGTGTCCCATGCTGTTGCAATGTGGTCATTTGCTTACAAAAAGGATCTCTTTTTTTTTTAAATGGCGTCAAATAAAGTAACTGTAAAAGTAAATTTGCAGGCAATACCACTTGAATCAAATTTTAGATTGTAAATTATTGACAAGACTATGCAAAATAACGCTTGTGAACATTAGGCAGGGCTATAAGTTAAATATGTATTACAGGTATACTGTATAGTGTATAACATTACCCCAAGCCAATAAACATTTTAGTAGTAAAGCAGTCGGATAAGTTTGAGTACCGTTCAGGAGTCCCTTGAAAATGACGCTTAGTTTGGATGTACAGTAGGTTAACCGGACCTGTAACTGTGTGTTCAGATGGAGTGAGGCATTGCTGTTGTATTAATTAGCATGATACTTCACTCAGACTGCTTCTGTAAAATACCCCCCAGTATAAATGTAAGTCACTTTGAATAAAAGCAGCGGGCAGTAAGGACCAATAAAGTTGACAAGATCATCTGAGTTGAGACCTTGGCTGACTGTTGCAATAAAACAGAGCAGTGTGCACCAAAGAATTTCTCATGGAAGTTTTTTGGACATTGCAAGCATTGGGTTACTCCCAAGGCCTCTGCAAAGATGAGAGCTCAAAATTAACACCAGTCAAAGGAAGTAGGTGTTCAGCTCCTAGCAGATCTTCACTGAGCGTCCAGCCAAATGCAAAGCCTGTCTGGTCATAGGTTATGAACCATGGATTCACACTGGGACCCCAAGCCAACTCAAGAGTAAAAAAATCGTTAAGTGTGAGAATTATATATTTTTCAGTAACAAAATAGCTTGGCATGGAGAATACTGTTTTCTTCTTGTACAATCTGTCCTATTTATCTTTTAAGATTCCATAGTGCTTAAAGATCGGAACTCACTCACCTCAATATTGATTTTTTTTATTTCTTACAGTCATAAATCATACTTGTTCCCTTGCAGAAAATGTGAATAGTGTTTTATGACTGGATGCTGGGAGTGTGCAATGTCAGGGACATGTACAATGCTAGCTGTGGAATTCTATTTCAATGTGGTTGTACTGTGTTGTCTGTCACAAAACAAAACTTCCTTCTCCTCTTCAGTTGACATTCTCCTAGCCTCAATGTGAGGTTTCCTTAAAATAATATATGAGACGGACTCGAGATTACCACACTGATCCCAAACCCCCATTCTTTTTAAGTTGTTGTTTCTTTGGACAATTTTATGGTTGCCTTTTCTTTTTCAGTGAAATACAGGTACCTAAGAAAAAGCCCATTTTTGTCTTTACTGAAACATTTAAAATACAGCACATTACCAGTGAACCTTTTCCATTTAACATGCATCCTAACCAGCAGTAATTGATTACAGGTCAGTAACTACTCTGCATTTACATCCTAAACAGAAGCAAAGAAGTGCAACACTCACAGATCTAATTTTTGAAAACACATTGATTTAAAAATAGCACAAAGTCCAACAATCCAGGAGATGATAAAGGCCACTTAACCTGGCTAATACATTGGACTGGACCTTGTACTACAGTATGTTTCAGTCGCTGAAGTTACTTTATCTTGCCTAACAAGCAAAAATAACACTTCTTGTCTGGCCATCTTTACTTTTTTGGCTTGAGTGGTGGTGTTGCACTTTAATCTGTCTGTGTTATTTCTACCATTCTAAACCAAAAGAATTGCAGATGACACAGCTTGAAAGGCCACACAGAAAACAAGAAGGCTAAGTCTGGACATTCTTGGTGTGTTTCCTCGGCACACAGGTCATCATTGTGCAGACTGACAGATGTGAGGTACTGTACGCACTGCTGAAGCATAAGAACTTTGCTGAGTGAGAACTCAACGACCCAATCAGGCCAGACTCACCTTGATGGAGCTGCTCCTGCTTCTGCAGCCAAACCAGAAGGATTTCTTTGGGGATACCATGCTCCCCAGGATACAAAACAGAAGACATGTCCCTGCTGCCTGTTCCTGCAGCACCTACATGTACAGTACGTTGGCTCTGAAGGCTTTGTTCCCTCTCTGCTCTAATTCCGCGCGAGTTGTGACAGCGGTAACAGAGCCATTTTACAGCAGCACAGGTTACCTATTTAATCCAGTTTGAATCAGCAGTGGCCCTCCCCTCCTCTTGGCTCTCTCTCCTCTGCTAGGTCCTGTCAGGTCTGTTTATGCTCCAGGGATCAATGGTAATATATTCAAGTCTAGGACTGCCTAACAAACTGGGTAGCTGGGTATAACATTCTTGGTTTTCTATCGAGGTTAAAGCCTCAAGCCAGTACATGATTTTCTTTTAAAGCTACTCCTACCACATTTTACAGGGCATTGTAAAGAAGGCTGACAATTGATGTTTTGAAAGGCGTTTTTCTGGTCACATTCTGTCTACAAATCCAGCACATTTAATGACTGATGTCATTAAACACCAGGATTTGCTTTTGTGCGCTACAGATGTCTATACAGATGTACTAAACAGGTCTATTCAAACCCACTACACCGACTATTCAGAGTACATTAGTATGGTTTCTGGAACAATACTAAATATACCGTAGGTGAAATGCCAGCAGAGTTAACATTTTCTGTGCTACTTTTTTGGTTCGTGAAAGGAATAGTGTGTTCTCACATTCAATCAACGTACCTCGTTAGATGACTAAAAGCTAAATTCTTCATTTTATAAATTAGCACAGAATCTGTGATAGTGAGTTTACTAGACTAGTTCAGAAGAGGATGGTAGCACACTGAGTTGTTTCTGCAGATTGTCATTTGGCATGGAAAATGCCCATATAGCAAATCCTGTACTGGTTGAAAATTGTTTTCTACGCAGATCACACAGCAGTCTGCACTAGAAAGATGACATATCTAGTTCTGCTCTGAAGAGCATTTAGTGAACCTTTCAGGGCCGTGCCTATACTAGACCAATCTCTCAAAAGTGGGAACACCTGGACTCAATGGAAGAAGGAACTAGACTCCCATGATATCCCATGCTGTGAAGGTTCATTATTCTTGAGAGAGCCTGTAACAAGTGTGCTTTTTACCAAACCTGTGCTAAAGAAAGAGTAAAAGAGATCTATAAAAGCTTTGATGCCTTTGACTAATGCAAGACATAAGTTAAAAGGAATATAGTTTTTTCTTTTGTTGACAGTTTATAACAGATTTAAAGGCTGATGAACCTTCATTGTAGTATGTTAATGATACAACCAAACTCCACTGTAATTTATTTCTAGAGCAACATTTTTACAGTACCTTTGACTGGCCGAATTTGTTATAACTATGTATTCAGGGTTAAAAAATGGTTACATGTAGAGGTTCTTTCTGGTAGCAGAAAAGCCACCAGCTCTCAAAACAAAACTCTTGGAGGTTAGGGCTCCAGAATCACTGCTTGAATCTGACAAATATGTTCTTGTTTTGAAAGGTCATGTAAATAAAGGTAACGATAAAATAAAGGTTGGCTTTGGCTTATAAAGATTACTTTTAAGACTAGACAGGAAGATTGATAAATTGAGAATAAACCTCATAGAATTTAGTTACGAGAAAGCAGGCCACATCATTCTAGTGAATGGCAAAAAAACATTTATTTTGAATAATTTATCTGCCTTCATAGAACAATCCTTATGGCTTTACTGGCCTTGAGGAGATTTAAACTGAAACCAGTGTGTGTAACTGGATCAGTGGCATTAGAGCTGGAATTAGATTTAAGGATGTGGCTATTGATTGATTGTTTTTTAAGCAGAGATGCCTTAACCCAACTTTAGTGCTTTTGGTTTGAACTACATTACAACTCGAGAGTGGATTTTGAAGTCTGCCTAGAAGACTAAATAATTATTTCCTTCAATACAGCTCTCAGTAAATGTTACAAAAATTAAGATGACATAAGGCTGGGTCCCCTTCAATAAAGAAACCTTAGGACATCCTGAATTTAATTTTTATTTTTTTATTTCTATTCTATTGCAACTGAACCTTCATTTTTCTACTCTAATTAATCTTTATCCTTTCTGTAAAGTTTGTTTTGAGTTGTTGTATTGATTGTATTTTTTAATTGTTGTCAGCTGTGGGCTTTTGGTTTCAGATATATACTGGCTTTTAAAGGTTTAAAGATGCTCAGTAAATGCGGCATTTTATGCTAGGTGATTCTCAACCTGTTTAATAAATTGTTGCCTTACTAATCTATTGAAATAAATAGCTCAGTAAAAAAAATATATCATAAAGAGTCCAGGAATACAAATTGCCAGGGTAGTAATAAGGATTATTACAACCCTAGGTCTGGGGAACATTGCTTTCAGACCATGTTTGGAATATTATAAAACTAAAACATGCTGTGCCTTTCCATGACCTTAAACCAACATTTTCTTCCTTTATGTAGATCACTTTAAAATCACTTACAGAACTTAAAATCAGGTTTCTCACATTACCATTTCGTTTTATAGTATTGTTACATAACATGTTTCAGTTATGTACATATCTTTATCTAGTGGTCTTTCAGAATCTTTTTCTGATTGTTAACAAGAATGTAACCAGAATCCAAATGTCTACCTCTTGGCATGCGGTTTTCTTTCATTTTTATTTCATCCAGCCTTTTTAATACACAAACTACAGTACAGTATGTCAGCAGATTTCAGCACCATTGTATGATGGACAGCTCCCAATCTGCCTGTTTTTCAAGTACAGTAATCTGTGTTAATATCTGAGGAATGTTACATGACAATAAAGGGCTTCAGTACATCACCCAACATTCTCCATCTATTTCTCTCTTCTAGATGTTGAAATAATGTCACACGGATTCTCTTCTAGACAATGTTCTTGTGACTGTGCCAATAGGTGCTCACACTAATTTTTGCCAGGGCTGGCCCAAATAAGAATGTGGCTACAAGTCTTTCTTTCATTATCTTTTTTTATTGCACAATTAATCAGTTAGTTATCTAGGGAGAACACCAACATTTTATGCTGTAGTGTCGAATAAAAGCAAAGCTATAAGTCTGTTAATTTGTGGATTAAGAAAAAAAACATAGATTTATATCCTCATTTATAAATGATTGGAATTCCCATCTGATATATATGGTTATTTTATTCTTGCCACTTTGCTGTAAACCTGTTTTATAACCAACAGAAGCCTAAATGTTTAAATTTTACTGTTTTCGGTGCACTCTTCCTGCCAGATCATCTTGGTTATAAAAGGAGGGCATTCCCATCTATCCTGTTAATTAGTTGACCTGAGGATTTTATTTAACCATTTCTTAAATGAAGTCAGGGTATCTGCTTCAACAACAGGTCTGGCTAGCTTTTCCTATACTCCCATGACTTAGTATCGTCTCCATTGCCCAGTCTTGCTAGCGAATAAAACCATCCTCCTGTTCTCACCATCAGCTAGCGTCTTTGGATTGTTGCTCCCATGGAGAATTCCTTGCTACCACACTTTCTTGTTCCAGTTCTACATCTGTCCATAAGAACAATTTTTGCAAATGAATGGAACCCACTTTTCCATTCATAACACTGTTATGTTAAGAACATAAGAATTAGGTACAAATAAAAGGAGTCATTCATTAAGCCTATCTTGTGCAGGTGGTAGTTAGGCATTTATTAAACGAAGCCAGGGTACTGGTTTCAACAACGTGGTTGGTTAGCTTGTTCCATTCTCCCCCAACCCTTTATGAAAGATGTACCCCCAGTTGTTGTTCTTAAATGGACTTCCAAGTAGTGTCCACTTGTAACCTTTGGTCTGTGTTTCACAGTGCGATCTGAAGGAGTCGGTTGGGTTGACTGTGTTGGAAGTCTTTAAGGATGCTGAATATTTCCATCATATTCTTGACTGCTGAGCCTGTAAAAAGGTTCAGTTTAGGTAACATAGTCTTAGTATTGGTTAAAGTAAATCACAGTCTCAAACTAACCTCACGAAATGAAATTTTGTGGCTGCAAATAAAAGCACAAACTAAAACCACTGCATCTGAAGATTCCTAGCAGATTGTGAATCCTTCTTGAGAAGGAGAGGTTGAGGGCTTGGTGGCATAGCAGCATGATCCAGAGGTACAGTACATTAGAGACACGCCTACAAGGACTCTTACCACAGGGCACTTCCAGAACATGTGTAAGAAGGTAGCAGATACGTTAATGGAAATAAACAGAGATGGTTGGTGATAATCATCTGGATACCCTGCTTTGGTGTTGCTTAAATTCTGTGTGCAGGTTTAAGATGGATATACAGTACTAAGTTTTAGGAAGAAGAGAAACCCGGACTGCATTCCTATCAAGTCTGTCAGGATCTCTGATCTTTTATAGAGCATCATATATGCCTATAAATATATGTGGACCATTTGCAGCATAAGACTTTGTCACATTCATACTGAGCCTTTAATGCAAAGTCATAAGCTGAAGTCAAGGTTGGGATGTCCTTACAAGACCACTGAACAGAGCAGATGACAACATATATTTCTGTTCGTCCTCTATTTCCAGCAAAATCCTGTTTTTTTTTTTTAAAATGCTTCTTAATGCTTTAAAGTACATAATGATACTGGTTGATGTAAGCAAATTGAGCACAATGTAAAGTTATCAGAATTTAAAAGCAATCTGTGTCAACATTTGCGAAGTAACACAACAGTCTTCAGGGAGATTCAACCAGGTCCATGTTTAAATTACAATAATTGTGATCTGTAATTACAATTAAAATATAAGTGTAACTGAGCTCTGACATGTCTAAATTACTATAATTGTATTATACCAAATAATGTACATAAATGAACAATTACAGTAACTGTGCCTTTGCAAAACTTTCCCTCAGAATATCATAATTTAGCCATTATACTAGTTTTGTTTCATGGCAATTTCAAATATATAAAGTGAAAGGTCCTGTAAATTACATTTTTGTATAAGCATAAATAACGTGGTATTTGAATAGTTAGTATTGTAATTGTAGTTTTGAATTTTTCCAGTTAATATGTCTCCTGTGAGTACAGTTACTACAGACTGCTTTAGGACTGGTGCTCTAGGGACTTGCATTGGTGATAAGAACATGATAAAGTTTTACAATGTTACAATATCTTAAGATCCCCTTAAGAAAGGTTATTGAGAAGATGAAATTACCCCGGATTCTTTATTTTCCAGATACAAGTGTACGGGGATTTTAATTAGAAGCGCAATAAAGGACACGCAATTTTACTCTGTAACTAGAAGGCCGAGACAAGTGGGTGGAGACGAGGCAGTAAAATTAAATTAATCTGACCCCTTTTGACTCCAGATGTTAGGGGTATATGTAAAATCCTGGGTCATTTGGAAGATCGAACGTGATACGAAAACCGCACATACGTTCACCCTTTTGATCTGCCTCTTTAATTAATTCCTTCTCTCTTTTCGAAACCAGGCTTACACGAAAGCTTTATAGTATTATTAAAGTCAGGGGAACACGGAGAAAACCTTATCAGTCCTGCCCTGCATTTTAATATAAGGGTGGTCATAAACAGCGAAGTGCTTGTAAAGCAGTACCTACCAATAAAGCTCAACATTTTTTCATTTGTGGAATACAAAAAAGCGTCTGTCGCTTCACCACCGCCGCATATACAGTACCCGTTAATTCTGCCAGACGTGTTTGTTTGGTTCCAGTTTACAAACATAGATTTCATATTCATAGACTTAATATGCTCCAATTTCTCATTCGTTTTGCCTCATCTCGCATGAAAAATAAAAATGTGTAGTACCAAACTTCCCCGTGCTTACTGTAAATGAGGAAAAAATGTGCGAACGGGATTTGTTGAAAAAGGACTTCGTTTTCCATAATGCAAGAAATGCTTGAATTTAGAACTATACATTTCAGTATACACACCTTATAAAGTCCCCGGTAACTCATGAAATACCATTTTCTTATTTTTCTTTATAGGCTGTCGGCGTGTGTGTGTGTAAATTTGAAAAATAATGATTACATGTTCAGGAATTGTAGAAACAGATGGAAATAATCGGAAAATCCTGGATTCTGAGAAGTGCAGAGATACTCCATGCTCAGAGGCTCTCATGGTTACAACATCCTGGATTATGGAGTAGCCTCAACACAGAACATGAATTAAAAAAAACTCTCCCAGGTTTGGGGACCGAAAATTCACTGAAGGCCAAAGAAAAAACCCCACAGAAAAACAACCTTATTACTCTCCACTTTTAGAGCTCTAAATAAAATATTTTCCACTTGGGAAACTTTACACCAATAAATCCATTTTTAAACTGTAACTAAGAAGCTTTTACCAGTCTAGGGGGATAACATCTGGTCATTGGGTGTTCCAGAGTTTTGTCATTAAATTATTGAGCAAAATAGTTGAATGAGCATAACAAATTACTGGAACCTCAAAACTCAATTTTTGTTTTTCTTTCAGGTTTTATATGCCATGTTAGTTCTCAGATATACAGTAATGGTGCTAAGCTTTCTGAACCATGTCCGAGATTAAGTGATAAGTAGAGCACCTGAACGTTGAGGTTTGTGGTAACGATGGCTCTCACTAAGTGTTACCTGTGCAGCAGTGAAATACATCCCCACAGGTATCACTCAGTACTCTGCAAAATCCCTTGAGGAGGCAGGAGCAGGTGGGCATTAAACATGGTAAGACAGTGCCCCTCCTCAGTGCAAGGGCTCTGCAATGCCACCAGTATGACAGGTTAAATTAGAGGGGCACTTCAAATCATTTCCTTTTTTGTAGCACTCTCTTGTTTTATCAGTGACTGATTGATTCCTGTTGCTGCTCCCACCTCTAAGACACTTATTGTTTTGAGAGACCTCAATAAAAATCACATTTGCCCTTCGTAAAAGTGAAAATCAGAAGCTGGGCAGGACTTTTACCCCAAAAAGCTTTCTTGACTTTGCCTTCAATACCCTTCAGGGAGTCTATAATCGGGACATGAAGTACATCAAAAGCACCACATCTCAGGTCTCCCCTGAGGCCTGCGGAGCGCCTCACACTCCCTGCTGATGGCTTCCAAACTGTTTGAAGGAAAAGGCTCTGAAAGCCGATTGCGTTTTAATAAAGTTTATTATCGGGTGCAAGCTAATCCTACTGCTAATCCCCTCCAGTCCAAAGGGAAGCTGGATTACGCACTTGCTATAATCCCAATGAAATTGCTAGGATTTAGCCATTGCTACAGAGCAGATGGCCACAACAGTGCCCACCCTCCACCTCCACCTCCTTGCCCTTTACCCCTAGAGAAGAGAGACCCCTGCCCCCGAGCCACTGAACCTGCTCCTTGACCATGGTTTACTATGAGAACTCTCCGGGTTAGTCTGTGGACAGTGTTCCCAGCAATCTCTAAAACCAATCTGGCCTGTTGTAGAGGAGGCTCAGGGTTGTTGATCCAACCAGCTCCTAATCATCTATTTTTTAACCACTTTATCCAATTCAGGGTCGCAAGGGAGCCAGAGCCTATACCAGTAAGCAACAGGCACAGGGCAGGATACTCCCTGGATGGGACGCCAGTGCATCACAGGGCACACACAGACTCAAACACGCACACACTCACAACACAACACCTATTTTCCCAGAAAGCAATTTACCTATTGGTACTGTATGTTTTTGAACCGTGGGAGATAACAGGAGCACCACACCAAACTCCACACAGATAGCACCCCAGGAACTGAACCTTAATTCCCAGCGCTGTGAGCATTGTGTTACCGTGCCACCCACCAAATTATTTGTCATGTTATGTAAATCTGCAGTGCTGTACACTAAGCATAAAACACACTCGCATCTTCCATTTAAAATGTGTTAACATACCCCAGCGTTCAGCACATTGATTGCATGTGAACCCCAGGCTGAATTATTCAGTGAATTTGGGAAGATTATGTTAGATTTGGCAAGACTGACACTCTCTTGACTATTTTTCAAGCACTTCCTTATTGATAGTTTCCCCATTGAGTTTTAATATGCTGGGATCTTAAGAGCTATGATAGAATGCCTTGTGCTTGTCATAAGATTTTCTGCTCTTTTTACTAACAAGTCCTTAAGAATCCCAAATATTGCAGCAAAGGGTGTATACAATTAAACAAAGAAAACAAACTAAGTTCTTAGCAAAAATAATTTTATTGAAATTAGTTCAAGCTACTTCTCTGTTATTTTAAGGCTTTTACATACCACTTCTTGTGCAGTCACTCCCAGAGGGGGTGAGCAGATTCAACAACCAGTGTTCAGAACAGATTTGAACAAGATGATCAGCAGATGGTAATCAAAAGACTACTGTTAAACAACTAAAGTTTCCACATAAATGTTTACATACCCTGTGTCACTTGCAAAATATCATTTTAGGTCTTTTAAAGGATTCGTAAAAACCAAATGACTCTTCAGAACAAGAGCAACACATCTCAGTGCCACCTTGGCTGGCATAGACTTGGTGTGCATTTTAGCAGAGTTTATGCCCTGGCAGGCTGACAATTTAGACCACTGCAGAAGCACTATGAGTGTCTCTACTGGCCTTTTACAGTAGCAATGCTTCACTGTACATCTTCTGCCAAATGCATTTCAAGCCATGAATCCTTCAAAACTAACCTGGAACAATAGTTCACAAATGCTGGACGGGATGATGAAGACATGCAAACTGACTTTCAATTCTTAACATTCATTGTTTCCAGATTCTCTTTGAACTTCAATTCATTATTTTTTAAGTGGTCTCCGCATTTTCACAAACAGAAAGTGAATTCAGCTCTTGGGATTTGGATGCTTTCAACCAATCATTAAAAAATAAAATAAAAGAAGCTGCCTAAATGGCTATTTCATATTGACACAATATCTGTCATCCAATCTTTTGTTCAACTACTACACAAAAATAGCAAAAGCACAAAAGAACTGCACTTGTTGCTAAATTATATAATTGGAGGAATTAAATGCAAGCCAAATGTTGTAAGAGCAATCAGGGTCACCTGTCAACTCTGTTCGAATTACAGATGAAAAAAACAGTGGTAATCATTTTTTGTGCTCATAATAAAATAAACTGGCTTAAAATAATCACTAATGGAACATCACCTGATCACTAATAAGCACCAAAAACCTTGTTAAGGAAACCTTGTTAAGCTGTTATTTTACAACGAGTTGCCTATAAACTGTTAACAGGACATGTGCAACTTTCCAGTCAGTTGAACTTCTCATTGACATTGGCACAGCCACATGCAAATGTCACAAAAACAGTAGGAACCAATTTTGTTTCTTTAACCTAACTATTCTTTAACTTCTTTTTTCTACCATAGTGACCTTAAATCCTGTAGTAATATTTACTTTCAGCTGAAGTTTGAGAAATAGTGTACAGTATGCCTAATGATTTGAAGTGTGAATTACTGCATGCTTTAGGCATGGGAGTCAGATTCAGATATTCAAATCAACATTCCCTGAAACAAAACCTATAATTCAGTTAATTCAGTAAATCACCAATATGTTTTAATAAAATAATTTTTCCTTCTAAAAATGCTTTATCTACTTTTTAAATGGTATTATCTATATGGAATACACAACTCCTTTTCTTTCTTCTTCAATGATATTGAGGGTAGTCATCTTCTGCATAATCAATTATTAGTGTAACTGCAGCTCCAATAAAATAAGAAGACATCATAAGAAGGCACAAACATGCTTGAGAGTATCACCACAATAAATCTTTCTAGTGCAATTTGTTTTGTTTTATTTCTCCATAATTTGAATTGGCAACTTTTCCCCAAAATAATAAATAACCTCTGCCTAACCTTTACTTTATCTTGGGCAGGTAATACCATTAATGTAAGTAAGGCTATCCAATACAAATGATTACATCTTTCCTCAGATTAAGAATATATTTTATATTTTGGATGTTCATTCTTTCAGAACACATGGATTAAAATCATTCAGGATGGAAATGCAGTCAAATTCTCTTATGTGTGAACTACGGCACGTTTGAGGGGTGTGATTTTGCAAACAAGCTGTGCCGTCCATGTGATCTTAAGAACCATTTTTAGACATTTTATTATGCACTGATTACTTAAAAAAATCAAAGTCAGTTGTTTGAATATAGAAGGAAAAAAATTAAAATGCAACACATTTTAACGGGTCCTAAATGAAGCAGGTTTGGCCCTTCATCTGATTCCTTACTTCAGTGGTGGGCAAGCTTGGTCTCTGAAGGCTTCTAGTTTTTGTTCTATGTTATCTCTTAGTTACTGCAGTTAACTCAACCATTTGCTTTCTTAATCAAAATAAGGATGATTCCAGGTTTTAAGCAGTTGGGAACCCTCGCTCCAAGACCAAGGTGTCCCACCACTGTGTTATATTCATGACTCCAGAGTGGTGGTGTTGGCCAACAGACCTTCAAACGGGCAGAAAGGGCTGCCCCTCAAGTCAGGGCAGAGCCATCTTGCCCCTTCGCAGGCGCAGCTTCATCTTGAAGTACAGGTACATGGCCAGCAGGCACAAGGAGGAGAGGCAGTATAACAGGACACAGAGGCTAATGTCTAGCCGAGAGAAGCCTAGACTCAGCAGGGAGATCCAGTGCTTCTCCTGGGCCTCCAGCTCTGCTCCCTCAACTCCCACGTACTGCCCGGCCAGGTCCCGCTTCTTCCGTATAGCCACGTAGTCTTGGGGCTCCTTGGGCTGCAGACGGGGCGCCCACAGCCTCTCCTCTGCCTTCCGGATGTTTCTCTCTAGGACAGCCACAGCAGCGGCTGCATCACGGACGGCTCTCATCTTATAGTGCTGGTTGATGAAAGAGTCCAAATCCACAATGTCCTCTCCCCTTGCTTTCTGCCGCCTCAGGCCCACGATGCTGGGCTTGGGGTTTCTGGATGGACTGATGTGCCCCCACTGTTGGTCTGCTTCTGCTCTCTCCCTCCCTGGCTTGCCAGCTGCCATCTGCTCCTCCAGATCTTCCTCCTCCTCCTGTTGCTGCTCTACCGGACCCTCCTGAGTCTCTTCTTCCTCCTCCCCCACTGTCTCCCCTGCCTCCCTGGCTCTCCTCCCGGGTCCCCTGACTGCCTTCTCTGCCTCCTGCTGGCCTGCCTGCGTCTCGGCCTGCTTGGCCAGCAGCACCGCCTCTCCCTCCAGGTGGTCCCGCAGTATCCTGTCCGCTGCGAAGTGGCTCCTCAAGAAGTCCAGCACAGCTCCCTGCTTCCATTCGTGCTCGCCACCTGTCACACTGTGACATTGGGGGCACATGTCCGGAGGCGGCCACTGGATCTTGGGGAACTGGGGATCCTCACTTAGAGCACCTTTTAACAAAGGAGAAAAAATAAGTCACTCTAGGTTTGAGCCTAGACAAGTCGGCTGCTAGAAAGATGGATGGTATCGTCTCAGTTGCCACACATTGTAACACACTGGTGTTTCTTTTTTAGAAGGGCGATTTTTCCCCCCCCCCAAGTGCATTTCCCAAGAGCATAGCAGATCCAAACCAACCCAAACTGTTATAACCAGGGGAAACACTGAGCCCAAGCTATTTTCAAAATGAAAAATATCACTTCAAAATTGCCGATATTTACAATTATGAGAGAAAGTGTTTAAATGCATATCAAATTTTATCTCTCACACTCACTACACAAACTATAAACAAGGCTTAATATTCTATACCTACAGTATATATATATATGCACAGGCCTTATTTTTGGGAGATGAATTCCAAAAATATTTGAAATAATTCTACCAATTCTTGTATGACCAGGAATGGTAGTACATTTTGAAGAGACTGTATTAAACTGAAAGAATAAAAACAAAATATTTTAATAAAACACAGTGTTTGGCGTTTTATGGCCCTCCGGAGCTGTGAGCCAGAGATGTTAAAATGTGAACAAGTGCCTGTTAACTCCACACCCCTGTGGTCAACCTCCCAGGGGGGCTGCAGTAGCCCCAGTGAGGCATTCAAGGGGCAGCATCTGCCAGCAGCACCTCGCTGAGGGCCAGGCTCTGGATGGGACTGCTGGTGCTGGAATGAGGAGGAGGCTCTGCGAGACACGGCGAGGGAATGATCAATGATGAGGCCCGGACTCCCAGGGGAGGACGGCGGGCTTCAGCGATAATGAATATAGCTGTGGAGGAGATTCCTCCCTCCCTCCCTGCACACACCCCTTTGAAGGGAGCACTATCTCCAGATTGGATGTGAAACCAGGCACCTCGAGGGGAGCTCTTGTTTTAATTGAATTTCCTGCATGTTTTCTCCCCCAAAAGGAGGCATCTGCTAATAAATTGCCCGTCGCCACGGTGGAACCAAAAAAAAAAACTCCAGCTGTTCTATCAGTTTGCAGCGCCATTGTTATGCATTCCATTTCAAAGATTTACATATATATATGCTGAATGTAAAAAAAGACAATAACTAGATTGATTGTGGATACTAGAAACAAAAACATTTTCTATAAAAACTTTTTTTTTTGCAAATTCTGCAATGGATCTGTTCTGGGTAGTACCCATACACGACAGCATTACCTTCACTTAATGTTTTCATGCGAAATTCATATTTGAAAAAGAAAGCGGTATATTGGCTGTTGAAGTATTATTGATTTATATCACATATACAGTATCTGAGGAGACATCCATTCCATTAAATGTAAGGAAAAAAGAAAAGCATGTATATGTATCAACAAATGTTATACAGTAGGGGCTATAGCTATACTGAGATGAATCATACACTCCAAAAGTCATTTAATCAGTGGAAAAAATATCTTCAGGTTCTGATCCATTTCACCACTCAGTGGAGTTTTTTTGTGGTTTGTGATGGACCTTAGCCTTTCAGTGTCAAACTTTCTTTCAATCCATTGCATAGATATACTATCCTGCACAAGACATACTGTTATTCCTTTGCTGGACACACTGGGCCATGCTACATTTTTCTCTGCAGCTAATTCATAATTTGAGAGCAACTGTTTGAGAGCCCAGAACGTCGGGCTGTACGACTGAATCCTGGCAACAGGCAGTAGTCTGGCAATGTTTTCAACTCCATAATTAATCATCCATTACTAAAGATCCACTGTGGATGAGCCTGAGCTTGTTGGACTGTTTTTATGCATCCATATTCTTCAAGCCATTTTTTCCCTCAGTCTGTCATTTGCTTTTAGGAACAAAATAAAGTATTTTTATGTTTTTATTTTTCAAACCTAGTTTCCGAATGGATACAAACATCACTGCTTTAACAGTGGATGCCTGTAATAAATTTTAAAGTTTTTACCACTGGAACTATGATTATCTTTCTGAAAATACACAACTCGTTTTCAGAAGACATCTCACAAAAAAGTACTGCAAGTATTGCTATACTAAGAAGAACTTAAAATATTTCAGCCACCAGTGCTGCTTTCTGGAATAACTCAAGTATATGAAATGAGAATCACTTATCAAACCCTAGATTATGACAGAAAAAGTTTAGAAAAGCTAGAAATATGTATACAGTGCTGGAACTGGATTTGAGTTTGCATCTACCTAGATGTAGCGTGCATGAAGTTACACAGTCCATTTTTCCTTATTTTTTAGTAATCTCTCTTCTACTGTATTTAGTTTATAACCTATGCTATAACATAAAGCCTTTAATATAATGCATGTGCAGTACTATTTCTACTGTGGTAAATTTAAGACTGATAAAAAAAAGCTAAAAAACTGATTACTTAAAAAGGTTATCGTAATAACATAAATGCCACTATGCCTACTTCACTGTATTTAGTTGAGAATATCTAGAAAGCTTTCACAATAATAACATTAATTAAGTCAAACGGCAAAATTGCATTGTTTCTACAAGACAACAGTTCTTTGTGACACACTGTTGAAATGTCAAGTCCCGTTGTCATGAAATATGTACTCTGTTGTGCATCATGTACTCCATCAACTAGCGTTTTAGGAAGAAATTACAGAAAAAAATCAGTTGAACGACACTGACTGAAGTCCTATTTCTTGTTTCAATATTATTTGGACTTGACATTTAAATTCTATCATTCATGGATCAGTGGGTCTGCAGCCTTGGAATAATGCTAAATGTAGACACACGCCACCATGCTCAGAAAATAAGCATTGGTCCCTGCAGCATCATTCCCAGAGGACCTTGTGCGGAAGTGACTTTTACACAGGTGGAGACACAGGGCACGTCCTCCATTACTCTTGTTCCAACCCCAGAATTCAGCATGAATAAAAGAGTCACCAGGACAAATATGTAAGTGAAGAAACAAACCCTTCTATTAGGAGCTACAAGGCCTCTGCCTCTTTGAAGACAGCCTGCTTCATACTATGTGCTCAAGCGGTCTTCTTTGTGTGCTTGTTAACAAGACACACTACCCCTTGGAACTGCCTCAGAAACCACACTGCTGCTAGGCTTTGGCCTGTCCTGCCAGTAAAATTAATCATCTTGTTGCTTTACAAATCGGCCCCTTGTTCACGCTTTGCTGCTCCCCAAAG